AATCTCAATCTCTTTACCATCCATCCTGATGCTGCCAATTGGCCCAGTGGTGAGAATCTTTGTCTTCTTAACATTGAGCCTCAATCCATATTGGAGGACGTTATGCTGAGTGAATTATCTCAGTCACAAAAAGACAAATATTGTATAGGGCCACTGTTGTAAAATGAGACTGACATCCAGGTTGAAGGAAGACTGAGAAAGAGGGAATAAATAATTTATACTGCATTGAAACAGATGAGGGAGAGAACTGTTTAAAAGGGATATGTGATTAGGTATAATTGTCATCACAGGAGTTCAGAATGAAGGCTGCATAGTGGAGTGGACTTGCGGGGAGGGATTGTATAACAATAAAAGAATTTTTCTTTTACTTTTCAAATGGAAGAGCAAATTGGGGGGAGGCATGGGCAGGAAGAAAAGTGTAAAAATGAATGAATGGAAACCCTAAGTCTCTATGAACTTTGATTAAAATTAATAAAACAAAGAAAAATCTATGCAAAGATTTACTGCTGCAATAATTTCTTGATATTCTTCCACCAAATTTTAGTAGCATGTGACATTACATAAAAATGTCCACATTCTCTTGTCTCATTTTTCTTCTTTTATGATCCACAAATCTAAGGGTTCGAGTTCCACACTTTTGAGAGTGGGAGATACCATATAACCCATAATTTGTTTATGGAAGGAACACCTGAGGTCCGGTTCGAATGTCACAGGTTAATAACAGAGGTGGTAACATCCCACTTTAAACCTGACATGGAAAAGGCAAGAACTTTTTTTCATTTTCACATCAAGAAATTAGTCTCTAACCTAAAACTCTGGCTTAGGCGTTATGTGGAGTTGTTACTCAAAAAACCATCATTGTGAACTGTGAAAAGAAAAAGAAAATATTTCATTACAACCATTAATTTCGTTCAGCACCTTTGTTCCATTCCAATTTCCCAAATGGGCCTCATTTAACCCTGAGTGGCACCAAGTGACAATTTTAACCACAGTCATCAGTTGGAAAGCTCTGGAGAGCAGAAGAGGGAGCATACAATAACCCCAGACAGTCATTATATAGATAAAAAAGGAGAGAGAGAGAAAATCCCTTTACTCGCCCTGTGGGCCCCTTCTTTGTTGTTCCTGCCAATGCAGCAGCCGCGTTGCTATATATACCCACTGCGCAGGGGCGCATCACACTGAACTCCACCATCCACCCAACCAGCCATGGGGAAGGTGAGCCGAGTTGGGAGGCCACGGGAGGGTCACCGGCAGACAGTGTCTGGGAGGCAGGCCCTTGAGCCCTTTCCTCCCCTTGCCTTGCAGATCACCTTCTACGAGGACCGGGGCTTCCAGGGTCCCTCCTACGAGTGCAGCAGTGACCACTCCAACCTGCAGCCCTACTTGAACCGCTGCAACTCGGTGCGCGTGGACAGCGGCTGCTGGATGCTCTACGAGCAGCCCAACTACTCGGGCTGCCAGTACTTCCTACGCCGGGGCGACTACCCCGACTACCAGCAGTGGATGGGCCTCAGCGACTCCGTACGCTCCTGCCGCCTCATTCCCCACGTGAGTCCACCTCCACCCTGGCCTTGCGAACCGGCGGAGTCGAATCACTGTCCAAGCTGTCCCAGGGACCCTTCTTCTTCTAGCTCTTGCCGTATATACATCCTAACATCACTAGTGTTTCCTTCCACCAAGAAAGGGATGAAGTAGATTTACCTTTTTTATCTTGTTCTCTGCTAAAATGGCATTCACCCCTACTACGAGTGAGTCAAAAACCCCCTCAAATGCATTGCAGTCAAGTTTGGACTCATAGCTGACCCTCCAGCGGGTTGTCAGGAGGCTGTAAATCACACCAGAGGAGATTGGCCATCTTTCTCCTGAGGAGCCACGGGTGGATTGGAACTGCCAGAGAGGCGCCACCTGAGCTTTAGTAGCCCAGCTCTCTATCCACTAGGCCACCAGGGCGCCCAACCAGAAAGGAGTGGTACCTGACAATAAATAGTTCAGAATGTCAGGGCTGCTGGCGCTGAAATAGTAAGGGATTCACTCCTTTACCAACAGGTGGCCTCCCCTACCTGTTCCTAGAACCACCCTCACTGCCCTTTTCTGTTCAATAAGCCTAAAAAGGTAGATAATTTTTACAGTTTTGATGATGATGAAAGAAGTGAGCCTAGCCCATGCCAAGTCACCCCTACCTTAATGACCAATTATTATTTTGAACATCAAGGGCCTCTCAAGCCCCTTTAATTAGGCAAAACTGGTAACTAACAATGGGATTCCAGTAGCCCCAGCTATGGACACTAATAGCCAAATAAAATCCCACCCAAAACTGCACCCATTGTCGCCACGCTGATTCTAACTCAGGGTGACCCTATTACAGGGTAAACTGCCTAGCTAAGTCAGATTGTCTGGTTAATGGAGTCTCCACAGAAGTACATCACTAGCCTTTCTTCTAGAGTGTCCTGCACTGGGTTGGAACTGCCAACCTTTAGGCTGGTAGTTGAACACTAAACTATTGCACCACCAGGAGCTTTATTAAAAATCCCATCGTCCCTGAATTCACAGTTTAAAAGACTCTCTCACTTGAATAGGACCAAGTTCTTGGGAAAGTTGCCACTTTTGTAAAACTCTAAATCTCCTTAGATGGTTTAATAAAAGCCAGGCAAGCACTGTTGTTGGCATTAAGAGCTGAAAATCTAGGTTTTCACTTTTGGTCCTAATTCTTCTAATCTCGGGCAGTGAACTTTGACCAGTACTTTTCTCATAAAAGAAGAAAAGGCATATCACGGTTGCTCTGGTACATTGGGATGTTGGGAAGATCATATTAGAGCGTGGATATGTGAGTCCTTGGCAAATCTATTCAAATCGCCAGTACAATTTACCTTATTAGCAGAGTTTGATGCTCCAGAAGGAATTGCTTGGAAGAAGAGTTTCTCAAGGAGGATTTAATGGTAGAAGAAGGAAGTCACAGAGGTAATGGGAAGGAACGAGCAGATGAAGGAGGAACAAGAGCTGGAGGACAGAGAGGCAGGGTTTGCCCACGACCAGCAGCCCAACTTTGCATTTCTCTGAAGGTTTTCTAGTCTCTTGAGCCTCATTCATGATCCTGAACTTCCTTTCTTTTAAAGTTTACTACAGAAAACAGATTTGCAGGAGCTGAGAACTGAAGCCTGCTTGTTCTGCTGGCTCTACTTTTCAGGAGTTTAGGCTGGCAGGGCTTAAAGCAGAAAAGGATTAAAAGATTTCCTGGGATGGACTCTTTCTCTGAATTGCTACCAGTCTGAGGCCTCACTCTGGGGAGAGCAAATTGGCTTTGTGTTTCCCTAACTTCTCATTTACTGACACCACTCACAGTCTCTTTTTCTAGTGATCCATTTTCCTTTTCATTCTTTCATCTCATTATTTTCCTATCTTCTAATAAGATATGAATAGTGCAAAGATCACTATAAATCTCTAAATGAGAAAGCAAAGCGAATATATTAGCAGTTACTCAGAAGGGTACTTAGCAGGGCCAGGGGTGGGGGTGGGGGGGCTCGGTAGGTCATGGCGCCGGGAGACTTGTTTATGTGAAAGGTGCCTTCTTGAGTTGTGCAGTGTACAACCTACACCACTATCCACCACAGCCCTGACGCTGACAGACTCTTTATGTGTTATCCACCTTGATTTAGAAAAGGTAAGGAAACGGCCATTCTGCAGCCGTGTCTCTGTCTGGTCACTAACCTAAGAACTACTTTCTCACTTTGCTTCATCTGCTGCTTGCTCCACCTGCAGACTAGTTCCCACAGGATCCGGATCTACGAGCGAGAGGACTACAGAGGCCAGATGGTGGAGTTCACCGAGGACTGCTCCTCCCTCCAGGACCGCTTCCACTTCAGTGAGGTCTACTCCCTCAACGTGCTGGAGGGCTGCTGGATCCTCTATGAGCTGCCCAACTACCGCGGGCGCCAGTACCTGCTGAGGCCGGGGGAGTACAGGCGCTACCACGACTGGGGGGCCATGAATGCCAGGGTGGGTTCCCTGCGAAGAGCAATGGATTTCTACTGAAATGTTTTTACTCTACTCTTTTCTCTATCTGGAAGTTAATAAAATATTTCCTGTGTGTTTCATGCAAATATGTAGTCCTCTTTTTCCTTTGCAAGCTCCTCGGAAGGCCACAATAAAAACAAAGCCAGAATCACATGAGGAGGTCACTACAGGGGTACCGCTGCTGGTCTCAGAATTGTTTGGCTTCTGGTGGCCATCAAGCTGCTCTTTGACTCAGAGTGACCCCGTGTGGCCCAGTAGAACTGCCCCCATTACTGTTTTCTTGGCTGCAATCCTTAGAAAAGCAAACCACCGAGCTTCTGAACAGGTTCAAACCGCAAACGTTTCAGTTAGTGGTTAAGTACTTAACCATCGCACCACCAGGGATCCTCTTAAGTCACAAAACTGAGGTCTAAATCTATATACAAACTGGCTATATGAAGTTGGACAAATGTATTACCTTTTCTGTGCCTCAGTTTTCCAATTTGTCAAAATGGAATAATAATGCTTTTCACCTTTCTTGGTTCTGATGGAAATCAAAGGAGTTAGATAGAGCTGGGGTTGCATAGTCAGTGAGGGGTTGGGATGCTAACCCAAAGGCCAAGCTTCTTTTTTAATCCATCAGTGGCTCCATGGGAGAAAGATGGGCAATTTCCCCCTGAGAGATCTAACAGCGCCTTGGAAACACAGTGGACGGTCATCAATGAGTCAATTATGACTGTAAGGCAAGGAGTGATCAAAGGTCAACCCCCAAAAGCAGCTACTGCCAGAGTCCACTCCCACTCCATATATGTCAGGGCAGAACTGGACTCCACAGGGGTTTTTATTATATTTTAAAACTAAAATAATATAGTAAGAAGCTTCACTGCCAGCCTGAAGGCTCACAGTTCGAATCCACCAGCTGCCCTGAGAGAAATAGACAATCACTTCCCGTGTGACTTCTCTGCCTCTGAGAATAAGGTCAATTCCAACTCAAATGTACATAACAAGAATAATATATTTTCTGGACTGCTAGGAGAACAAACAGGTTTATCCTAGAGAGGGTTAAACCAGGCTGCTCCTTGGGGTCAAGGATTCTGAAGCTTCATCTGACATACTTTGGACATGTTGCAAGGAGGGACCAGTCCTTGGAGAGGGACGTCATCATGCTTGGGAGGGTGGAGGGGCAGTTTGGGAGAGGAAGACCCTCAATGAGATGGGTTGATTCAGTGACTGGGGTAATGGGGGTAGGTGTGTCAGAGACAATAAGATTGGCAAGGGATAGAGCAGGGTTTGTACATAGGATCACTATGAGTCGCAGGTGACTTGATGACACATAACAACAACAACAACTACTGCAGGATTACAAATCATATTTGGTTTTCCTACAATAATTCTTAGACAGTTTGGTTTACAACAATAAGGTTTTCAGTGACTGATTTTTCAGAAGTAGATACCAGACTTCCTCCAAGGCATTTCTAGGTGAACTTTCAATTAGCAGTCAAGCATATTAGCCATTCATAGCCACTCCATTTAATAAATACAAATGGAGGGCGAGCTCTGGTGGCCTAGTGGCAAGAAGCTGTGCTGCAATCCAAGAGGGGCATGGTTGTAATCCACCAGATGCTCTGTTGAAGATGGACAATCTCCTCCTGTACCAGTCAGATCTGATTTGATGGTACACACAAAATAATAAAAAAATTTTAAAAAATAAATGCAGGTGGTTAATACTGCTAATTGTATCTCTTAAATCGAACGAAGGGAACCCTTGTGACGTAGTGGTAAGGATTTGCACTGTCGACCCAAAGACTCTTGGTTTGAATCTGCCGGCTGCTCTGTGGGAGAAAGATGGACGGGCTTCTCTCAGGCCATTTACTGCCTCTGAAACCAGCTGGAGCGTCACCTATGAGTTGATTCCGACTCTCCAGCACATAACAGTAACAACAACAATGATAACAACAAACATGTTAAAGCGTAGAATGGATTTCTCCATTCTGACTGCACAGAATCATGCATGGAGCCTTTTAAAAGCACTAATGTGCATCCAATACAGGCCATGGTCTTTGCAATCACTTGTTATGCATCAGAGAGTTGGACAATGACTAAGGAGGATAGAAGGAGAATTGATGCCTTTGAGCTGTGGTGCTGGAGAAGAGTATTGAGAATACCATGGACTGCTAGGAAAACAAACAGATTTGTCCTGGAAAGGGTTAAACCAGGTGGCTCCTTGGAGGCAAGGATTCTGAGGCTCCATCTAACATACTTTGGACATGTTGTGAGGAGAGACCGGTCTTTAGAGAGGGACATCATGCTTGGGAGGGTGGAGGGACAGCGCAAGAGAGGAAGGCCCTCTATGAGGTAGATTGATTCAGTGACTGGGGTAATCGGGATGGGAGTGTCAGAGACAGTGCGATTGGCACAGGACAGAGCAGAGTTTAGGGCTGTTGTACATCGGGTCGCTATGAATCCCAAGTGACTCGACGGCACATAACAACAACAACAACAACAACAACAATGTCTGATCCCACTTCTACAGTTGGGATTCCATTATACAGCTCTATTTTTTCTTTTCTTTTGATATATAATTTACTTCCTAACAAGGACTATTTCACTTTCTTATTTTAGGATTTTTTTTTAAAAAAACCCACTCTAATAGTTTAACACTGATAAGATTTGATAGGAAAAGTAGGTTTTGACTCTGGGACCCCAGAGATGGTGCTCCCTTTCCAATAAAACTAACCCGTAGCTTGGTTTATACTCTGGAGGAACTTGAGCTGCTAACTGAGAGGTGGGCCCTGTCTTCCTGTTCAAATTCATCAACTGCACAGGAGAAAAATGGGCCATCTCCTCACATTCAATTTAGAGCCTCAGAAAACCTGCGAAAAGGTCAGCTATGGGCCTCTTCTGACTCACAGCAATGAGAGTGTTGTGGGGTTTTGTTTGTTTGTTTTTGGTTTTTAATTAGGCACAGCCAGAGCAGCTGTCCAGCCACACGGCCCTTCCAGGGCCAGGGTTTACCCTAGAACAGACTACAGTCGGCCTGCCTGGACCACCTCTTCAGTGAGAGCCAAGAAAATGCCTGATAACATGTTAATATTTTTCAAGCTGTAATTCTTGCTCTGGTGGCCTCACAGGTAATAAGTAGTGCTGTTAACTCAAAGACAGGTAGTTCAAATTCACCAGGTGCTCTACTGAAGAAAGCTGGACAATCTCTTCCAGTGGGATTTATAGCTTCTGCAAAACCTATTTGTAGGCTCAGCTATGAATCAGTTCCAAAAGGACATCGCCTAACAATAGCAAGGCCAAATGAACCACTTGAAGGTCAAGAAGACATTTGCTTTACTAAGAGATAAATTATTTAGAGTATCGAGAACCCCTTAGAATCCAAATATGCTTAAATTCACCAACAGCTGTTCTTTTAACAAGCTGGATTCTCTTAGATACAGCTTCCCTCTTTGTCTCTGTAGCTGCCTCTCACACTTTTGGTCCTGACTTATGTCTCTTGCTGTTACGGTTAGTGAAAAAGAAGAAGACTTTTGTGCCACACAGAGACTGGCAACTCAAGTTCATGACAGCAATTTACTTTTCCTCCATTTAAAGAGGGGAACACTTGTGTCTTAGTGTTAAGAAGTTGTGCTGCCAACTCAAAGGCAAGTGGTTTCAATCCACTAGCTGCTCTGCGGGAGAAGGATGGGCAATCTCCTCCAGTAAAATTTACAGCTTCTGAACACCCACTGGGGGTGGGGGTGGGGCCAGCTATGAGTGGTTCCTACCCAACAGCAACAAGAGCAGCAATGCAAGAATTTTTCTTTTACTTTCCAAAGAGCGAATTGTGAGGGGACGGGTGAGCAGGGAGAAAAGTACAACAATGAATGAATGAAAATCCAAAATCTCTGAAAACTTTCATTAAAATGAATTTTAAAAAGAAGGGGGAGTATATATAATAAAAATTATAGAATTTTTTAAAAAGAGCAACAGTGGGGAGCTCTGGGTACCAGTTCATAGCGTAATGAGCTGCGCTGCTAATCTGAAGGCTTCCTGTCTGGTGGTTTGAATTTGCCAGAGGCTTCGCTTTCAAGGGAGAAAGCAGAGCAGCCTAGCTCCGCCTTGATTTGCAGCCGGGGAAACCTGCTGGAGTCAGAATCTACTGAAGGTAAGTGACCTTGGGTTTGGTAGTATAGAGTCCTATGTGTAGTGCTGCTAACTGAAAGGTTAGCAGTTCAAACTCACACCAGCTAATCTGAAGCAGACAGCTGGACAGTCTCCTCCAGTAAAGACTGACAGCTTCAGAAACCAGGTGAAGGGTGGCTACTGAAAGTTAGAATCATTTCAGTAACTGGGTTTGCATTTTCACTGAGGACGCCAGGACGCCTTCTCTTAATTTATGAAGGAGAGCGTCACCTGGTGTTTCGCACAAGGAAAGCATGTACGGTTTTAAAACTTTTTCCAAGACATTAATGGTAAGAAAGGAACCTTTCACATATTTTTGCACCTTTTAAATATACTCTGCTGTGCAGTTTACACAAGCTAAGCTTATCATGTAGCAAAAGTGCATATTAAGCAAAGATGGATCTTATTTTAAAAGATGTGCTGCAACTTGAAGCGACTGCTGACCCGTGTCCCCCAGAGCAGGTGTGGCCCTCTTGAAAGAGGAGCCTGAATCCGTATTGTGCCTTTTAACAGAGCCTGACTCACGGTACGCAGTGTGACTGCCCTACTGCTTATACCTGAGAGTCACAATCTCAGTGCTTTGGGCTCACATCGACCCTCTACATCGCCGGGTCACTCGAACAGCATCCTCCAAGTGATGTTGCCTTTCTCCTGAGGCCCTACTGCTCTCAGCTTACCTTCTTCTTGAAGGAGAGAATTTTGAACCATGAACACAGCTCATAAATATAATTCCTGTTTTCAGACCGTCTGGACTTCTTCAGACATTCCAGTAAACCTAAATCACAGGCACCATAGTGCAAGTCAACTCAGCTCATTCCCACTGAGCGGGAGCCACTCGTACCCGACTCTCCCCGATCTGGGCTGTAGAACCAATGGGAGGAAACTTCCCTGCTGTCTCCTGTGGAGCAACTCGTGGATTTGAACCACCTGT